CTATATATATTTTCATAAATCTTTTAATATATATATATATATATATATATATATAAAATGTTTAAATTTAACAAGGATAATTTTGATATATTTTGAGACATGATGAATTGAGATTTTTCACACTTGTGTACAAATTACAAGGAGTAAGTTGATTAAAAAAAAACTACAAAATCTTTCTTTACTTCAGCAAATAAAATTTTATTGTATTTTTTTCAAAGTTATTTTGATTTTTACAAAGTCATTTGAAATACTTGAACCAGTATTTGGTAAAAATAAAGAATAAGTTAAGTACTTAGATCATTTATTTGTCAAGAATACATCACTTAGTGTAGAGGAAAAAAAAAAGCAAAAGTGAAAAGAAGAAAAAAAAACACTTTACATCATTTTTATTAGTTCAAAAAATTAACTATACCAAAACACATCCATTTATAAGGGTACCTTAATAACTTCCAACTCTTTAATACCAATTTGCTTCTTATAGATAAAGATAATAAAATTAAAAAAAAAAACAGATTTTTTTCATTGCAATTTTATTGTGAATCTAAACAAAGTATTAAGGTAAATAAAAAAAATTTAACAATGTTATAATATACAATAATCTATGATAAGATTATAATGTAAAAAAATTATATTTGATGATGTTTATAAATTAAATTTCCTTTAAACTATTTTCAAGTGGTCATTTTTATGAATTTTTGAACTTGATTGAGAGATTTGTCTCTTCTAAAATGAGGGATATTCTTTAGAAGATAAATTACACTCATAGTTATTGATTAAAAATTTAATAATTGAAACTTGTGATAAAATAAATTTTTTACATAATTAAATATAAAATTAATTATAATATCAACTATTAATTTTTTTAATCAATTACTATATTTTATTCTCTAAATTGCAATGCTTTAGAGAAACGAAATCCTTATATACAGATGTTGTTTTTACGTAATCAATTAAATAGAGATTATCTTTAAAATAATTTTAATATAATAATTACAAAAATGTTAAACTTATCATAAATGAGAATCTTTTATTAAATGGTAGTATTTTTTAATATTAAAAATGTAGTCTTGTATGAATAAGATTTCGATTGGCGGAAAAGAAAAGTCAACAAATTTTTCTATCCGACAAGTTAAAAGAGGCAAGCAAGTTTCAATCTTGACATATACTATAGAATAAATAAACTAAAAATACAATGACGTATATGGTAAATAAATCCAGAAAATAAAAAATAAGAATTTGAAATAAGAATATTTTCAGAGAAAACGAGTTACACAGCGTACGTAAGTAAGTAAAAATCCAGCTTTGAGCGTTCTGGCAATGGACCCATCACCCATGGCTGTCTATGGTCTGTTACGCACCTTGTAGTTGAATTGCTTTACAACATCAACTTGGTATTCTGTAGTTAGCATCTTCTAGGAAGAACGTAGAAGAATGGGAAGCGCGTGGATTTCACTTGCATTGTGTCAACGTGGGTGAGTGCTCACAATATCCCCATATTCACACCTTATTCTTGTCCCTTTTCTCTGCATAACTTACATGTGCCATGGCCCATGTGCGGGGTTTCAAGATCTTCATCTTGCTCAGTTATTCTCAAACTCCACTTTGCAATACTACTCTGTCATCAGCCTCTGCCACCGTACTAGTTTCATATTGGTACATGCACCTGAAAAAGAAACAAGGAGCATTTTAGTTACACCAACAAAAACCTCAAAACCAATAGTTTGTTTGATCATACACAAAACAGAAACATACGATTAGTGCAAGTGCCATCGCTGCGGACAAGAATATACTTCTGAATCTACAATTCTATAGATGCCTTTTTAATGGAGGATTCTTGAAGATTTTCCAAGCATGTACTCCTCTATGCATACATGGTGTGATATTGGTTCAATTTCAAACACATCTTTCTCAATCTATTCCATGGAGATTCAAAGGCAAACTTAAAGTAAACTGAATTACTGGCCAAAGGAATTCAGTGATCGGAAAGTGAAATAATTTATTTCCAAAATCAGGTCTGAAAAACCAGTAAAGAGAAGTAATTTGAAAAATATGCCAAAGCTAGAAACATCCAGGTAACTTAAAATACCACTTGCCTTTGAAAAGCAATAGCTGTGTGTCTTAGGTTCAATATTTTTCCTTAACCTTACTTGGAAAGCTTGCAAAATGCCAGCTTTTTTTTTTCTCCTCCTCTCGGCTAGTTTTAGCAGCATATTCACTATTATGGAATTAGAAATGAACCACTTTTTCTTTCAATTAACCTAAAAAAAAATTCTTAGTTTGATCAGCTTCTGCCAAGCTCATGTAACCTATATCATTATTGAAATCTGAAATTAAAGTTCAAAAAAATATAAATTAAACTATTTACCTTGTAAAAAAAACTCCAAAATATTTAGAATGCAAATCAAAGTGTATTGAACTGCAGACATATTTGATTAATTATCCAAACAAATATAGCACACAATAAGGATAAAACAAAGATTTGACAGCTGAGAGCTTGCTTTCATAAAGGAAATCATCCATAATACATAAAACAAATCAGGATATGATGCTACATATGCACACATTATTTAATTTTGTTAACAACACGTTTTACTTTATATGTTTGCTATCAATTGCTTTTGTATGTTAATGATGTCATGTGCCTTTTTTTCACTCCAGAAGTCCAGATTATTCTGTTTCACTCTTTTTTATTTTTGTAAATCCATACAAAATTTATTTACATTTCTGTGATAAAAAATGGTAATACCGCACCACTTTGATTTTTGTTTTAAACAAGCATGCTTTATAAAATTTAGGTTTCATTACTCTGTTGATCCTTAAATTATTTGAGAATTTTCAAGTGCGTTCTTAAACTATTTTATTTTAATCGGGTTTCTAAAATAAAAATAAAAAAAATAGCTCACTGGGATTAGTTTTGGCGGCTTAAAAACCACTAAAAAAGACAATTTATGGTCATTTTAAAAATCCACTCAATTAGAATAAGTTTACATGATCAAGAACTCAATTAAAAGCAAAATAGTTTAGGAACTTGAAAATTCTCAAATAGTTTAGGGACTAACTAATTAATCCGTGATGATATATTGTTTTGTACCATGTTAAAGTATATTCCAAATTTTTATCCGTACGAAGTAAGAAGTCAATTGTAGATTCTGTTGGACTACTTTATCTGGCAACGTGTAGGATAAGAGAATATCTAGTTGTTTGACGTATGATTATTCGTTTTAGTTTGAGCAGGCTGGCATCGCTAATACAGGCTATGATGAGGTGTTGAATCCCTGCGTGAAAATGATTAAAAAGAACAAAGAATATTGACAAGGACATAAGGAGACTCTGGAAATGCTAAACTAATATCAAACCATCAGGTCTTGAATCCCAGTGTTTCAACAAAAGTCAGAGAAGTACTTAGATTCAATATCAAGTTAATTTACTATACGTAAAAAGATTAATACCATGTGTACATCCAAAGGAAGATCTGTCAGGGCGCAATACATCAACCACAAAAAGTCCCATTGTAATATTTAGAACAAAGCGACCGTCCATTACATCAACGTGAATCCAATCACAACCAGCCAACTCCACAGCTTCACCTAGACAAGATAATCCACAAACTTAAATAATCATGATTGATGACAATTAAAAAACATGTTAATAGTGACTTGAAAACAAAAAAGACAGATTTACTAGCAATAAGCAAACTTTGTAAAATGATAAAGAAATATTGTTAAACTGAAATACTGATTACAGAAAGTAAAGCATGTTATAGAACCTGCTATCCCAATTTTGAAATTTTGAAAAGTTAGCAGAAAGAATGGATGGAGAAACAATGATATCGCTTTTTGAAAACTTGTCAACCCGAGATGAAGCCTTCACTGTGGTTGAAATTTTCCTCCTGAATTCACAAAGTAAACAAAAGAATATTAAAGCAGACTATATCAGACTTTCAAATACCCCAAGGCACAAGCCATATCTAACAAAATATACATGCACTGCATTCTGCATAAACATGAACCGATCACATGAAAAGTAGTTTTAGAAGGCCAAAAACAAACACATGAAAATGTTGAGTCAGAATTAAGCTGTGTAGCTAACATTTTTAGCCTATGAAACCTCGTGAACATTATAAATTCTGATAGTAAGGGTGCAAATAAACAGAACCATCCAGGTTCAAAATCAGCATAACAATTAGTCATAGTCCTCCCAGATGAAGATAACATGTACTCAAAAGACAACGCATGAATGATGGCATGAAATAAATCATTTAACTTTAGAATTATGTGACTGCATGCTACCGATAGGTTGTTCTTTTCTTTTAATTTGAACAAAAGGTAAGGTCCACAGACACCCAGCATGACATAAAGGGTTCATAGTGAATGGATTTGACTTCCAATCCAAAAAACGAGTGAAATTCATGATTTGGGCCTCAATTGCGAGTTACATATATATACGATTCCCAATTCAACAGATTATGAAGTATGAAGGGGCAGTGGTTGTACCTGGTGAAAGTGAGAGAAGGAGGGTGGACAAGGGAGGCTGTTCATTAAAGAAAAACGGTAGACATAGAGCTGGAACAAGGACTAATTAACTTACTGGCAGTACATTTTTTTATATTTTTTTACTTCTTTTTCTTCTTCGTTGCAGCAGATTTTTTCCTCATCTTCATTTTCCCTGAAAATTTCGTAACTTTCTGTGGAGACTTGACTATTGAACTGTCCACATGACTGATTTTTTCTGGCCTTTTAGGTTTGTAAACTTCGGTTATTGAAGGATCCAAAACATCATGTGAGCACTGAAGAGTGATGCCCGTACCTGTGGCTTCATCCCAAAGCTCTCTTCCCTTCTCAAAATTCCCTCCACTACAAAGCTTTGGAATGAGCACATCATAAACTGGTCCATAACCTCCCATCTCACTTCTCTTCATTTTCTCAAACAGTTCAAGAGCATGATTTACCCTCTCAACCCCACAGAGAATACCAATCAAACTGTAGTAAAACTTATGGTTAGGAACCAAGCCTTTTCCGATCATTTGATCCACCATGTCTTTCCCTTTACCAAACCTGCCACTCAGAAACAACACCTTTGCCACTAGATAATAGCTGACCCAATCAGCATCGCAACCAGAATTTTTCATTGTTTCAAGTATTTGACAAGATTCCTTAACTCTTCTGTTCTTCCCCAGACAAGAAAGCAGTATGTTGTAACTGATTGAGGTTGGGAAAACCTTGTAAGACCTCATCTCCATCATGACATTTAAAGCTTCAGGCACAAGTCCTGAGGGATTATGTCTAAGATTCCGTTCACAAAGGCACCTGAGGAATGTGTTGTAGCATAACAAATCTGGGATAACCCCATCTGACTTCATCTCTTTAATAATTCTCCTAGCTTCCTTCACATTCCTCTGCACAGACCACCCATAAAGAAGACTTCTGTATATGCAAGGTGTTACTCGTGTAATCTTGTCTTTGTGATGCCAAACTACCCCTTCAGCCCTCTTAGCATGCCCTTTGGAGCAAAGGGCATTAACGATAGCAGTAACTGTAAACTCATCTACATGACACTTATACTTGTCCAAGTTCTTGAAAATACCCAATGCCTCATCTTCTTTTCCCAGTTTAACCAAACTATCAGCCACAAGACCAAAAGTCTCAGCATCCATGACACGACCCTCCTTCTTGAGATCTCCCATCAAAATATCCATTGCTGTGTAGTCTTTCTTTTCTGCAAAAACTCGAAGGGCATGATTATAATCCTTGTCTTCCAAACTATGACTTAAATTCTTACTAGACCATAAGAAGAACCTGAGCAATCTTCTAGTCTGTGCCTCATGCTTACTAGAATCAATAGCCTGAGCTACGAGAGATGAAGTTAAAGAATCTTTAAACTTATTTAGACTCAGCTCCAGATCATCTAGCCCACCAACAGTGCTCATGACAATGCTGCAGAGCTCTTGCAACCGGGGAGGAACAGATATTGGCGGCAATGCGGAGTAGTGGGAAGCTGAAAGCAGTAGGAAATTCTGGGTACTCATGTTTTGAAGCCAAGAGCATTTCCATGCTTGTTTGAACAAGAAATGCATCTTGAATCTCATTGGAGAAATTCATCAAACATGTTATGTGCAGCGTAGTTATTCCAAACCTTCAGTGCGAGGTGATGATCAACCCCAGCTGTACGTTAACGGGAAAGGCAAGATGCTGCAATTCACAAAATCCGAACTCTGAGTCTTAAATTTTAGGGTTCGATGCTAAAGCTGAACTTCAGAAGTTGGGGACGAACGCTTAATTATTAAGGGCTGTCGTGTCAGATCGATTGAAAAAGGTCGACTCTCAAGAGTCAAGAGCGTAGAAGAATATATTAAAATAATTCAACTAAAACTTAATTATTATTCTAATTATAATCCTTCCTCCTAAAATTTTATTAAATCTTATAAAATGAGAATATTTCAAGATGTTATTCTTTGACAAGAATATTTTTACAGGTTTTTCTTTTCTTTTCAATAAGAATGTATTCTGAAAATTTTCTTATTTCTATTTTTTAAACTTATTTTTAAATTAAATTTTAATTTCTTCAATAAAGACTTATTGTTAAAAATAAATTTATATCACAATATAAATTACTATCATAAATTTAAAAGAGTAATTTATATATTTGAAATATTTATTTATTATAAATTTCAATTATAATATTATTTATGTATTTAAATATCTATTTATTATAAATTTTATACCATGTGTATTGTATGTACTATAAATAAGCATTTATATATTTTTTTTCATTTGCCTTGATTGGAACATGCAGAGATAAAGCCAACTTAATGATCGCAGAGTGGTCCAATGGTTTCCAATTTTGCATTTTGGTTAGGCAACATTTTTTGAGCATACTAAGGAACTAATGATACATGTCTAGCCCACATTATCATATCATAAAATAAGGAAAAACACGTACCTTTGAAAGAAACAATTAAAATTCAATTTCACTATGTGTTACGAAAGGGATTTGTATGGATTAACACAAATGAAGATGTGGTCTTTTATTTTGGCATAAATTACAGAATCATTCTCCTTCATACATACTACCCTTGACTTCATATAGGATTATTTTATTAATGAAAAAAAATTATGTTTATATTAAACTCTTTTACCAAAGTGTGACTTAAATGGTATATAATTTTGTTCTTTAAATATATATTAAGAGATCGAATGTTTGATTCTTAATTGACATGTTTTAAAAAAATATTTGTTGATAAAAGTTAACTTCTTAAATAAATCTTACTATCTTAAAACATTAACTTTTAACTTTGGAACTAGAAAATACATTAGTCTATAATATATATATATATATATATATATATATATATATATA